TGGGGGTTGAAGTCCAGCCAACTTAAAATTGCCCGGGTTGAGAATGACTCACCTAAATAAATATTCCAGCCAGGACCGAAATCTTCCCCAGTCCCGTTTTGGGGTACCTACGGGACCTCCCATCTACAAACCCTCCTCCTTGTTGGTTGCAAGTAGGAAAAATCAAATTCTTGGGAGGTTTTTTTTTGGAGAAAACTTCAACAATGCTTTTATGAGGATGTGATGAGCTGGTTCTGCAGCTCTGCTAACAAGCCCTGTTCTTTTTCTTTACCTGGTTTTAGATTGGATAAAGAAGACGTGATGACTTGCCTAATTAAAGGCTGCAACTTTGTCCTCAAGAACATCCCCCACGAGGCCTTCGTCTACCTGAAGGATGCCGACCCCGAGTTCAGGTTCCAGATGAACCATCCCCACATTTTCCCCTATTTGCTGGTCAATATCGGCTCTGGAGTTTCGATCGTGAAGGTGAGGACCCTTGGTTGATCAGGTAATCCTTGACGTAGGGCCACAGTGGAGTCCAAAATTTCCGTTGCTAAGTGAGACAGTTCTTAAATGAGCTTTTGCCCCCTTTTACGACTTTTCCTTTCCACATTTGTTAAGTGAATCTCTGCAGTCGTTAAGTGAGCGACCCGGTTGTTAAGTGAATCTGGCTTCCCCATTGACTTTGCCGTTCAGAAGGTCCTAAAATGGGGGACCACGCGACCCCCTGGGGACGCTGCATCCATCAGTTGCCAAACGTCCAGGTTTTGATCACGAGATTGTGGAGATGCTGCGACGGTCGTAAGGGTGGCTGATTTGCGGTTTCTGGAAAGATCTTCTTTCAGCCATTCTCTGATGCTCGCTGATCTCTCTCCCGGGTCAGATCCCCCCCCCCAGCGGATCCACTTGCCCATTCAGCCCCAGGCTGCCCTAAAGAGAGAGAGCGTCCTTATCCATGTAATAGCGGTGGGATTTAGGCAAGAACCTGCTTCTTGTCTTTGATAGGTGGAAACGGAAGACAAATTTGAATGGATTGGTGGAAGTTCCATCGGAGGCGGGACTTTCTGGGGCCTCGGAGCATTGCTTACCAAAACCAAGGTAACGTTCTCGCCTAGCAGTGCGGCATTTGAGTGATGGACTGCTCTTAAGTTAGATAGATAGATAGATAGATAGATAGATAGATAGATAGATAGATAGATAGATAGATAGACAGATAGACAGATAGACAGACAGACAGACAGACAGACAGACAGACAGACAGACAGACAGACAGACAGATAGATAGATAGATAGATGATGGATGGATGATGGATGGATGATGGATGGATGGATAGATAGATGGATGGATAGATGGATAGATAAGGTGGGTGGGTGGGTGGATAGATAGAGATGGATGGAGGGATAGGGATATATACATGGATGGAGAGAGATATGGATGGGATAGATGGATAGACGGATGGATGGATAGATAGATAGATACATGGAGGGAGGGAGGGAGGGATAGAGGGATAGATACATGAATGGAGAGAATGGAGAGAGGGAGATATGGATGGATGGATAGACAGACAGACACAGAGATAGACAGACAGAGACAGACAGACAGAGACAGACAGACAGACAGAGATAGACAGACAGAGATAGACAGACAGATAGACAGACAGACGGCGTGAAAAGAAAAACACAGGCTGGTGCCGAGGAACATCCGTCCTTCCAGCTGGTTCATCTGACAGACCTTTGGGATTTCCATGTTTAGAAGTTCGACGAATTGCTGCAGCTCGCTTCGAAGGGCCAACACACCAACGTCGACATGCTGGTGAAGGATATCTACGGCGGGGCCTATCAAACCCTCGGCCTGAGCGGGAACCTGATAGCCAGCAGCTTTGGGAAATCTGCCACGGCGGACAAAGGTGGGACTTTTCAACCTCTGATTCTTCAGAGTGTCTGTTAAGGGGCTGGCTCGCTCTGCCCGTTAAAATTAAGGGCCTTTATTTTATTTTATTTTATTTTATTTATTATTTTATTATTTTATTTATTTTATTTTATTTTATTATTTTATTTTATTTTATTATTTTATTTTATTTTATTTTATTTTATTTTATTTTNTGGGGGTTGAAGTCCAGCCAACTTAAAATTGCCCGGGTTGAGAATGACTCACCTAAATAAATATTCCAGCCAGGACCGAAATCTTCCCCAGTCCCGTTTTGGGGTACCTACGGGACCTCCCATCTACAAACCCTCCTCCTTGTTGGTTGCAAGTAGGAAAAATCAAATTCTTGGGAGGTTTTTTTTTGGAGAAAACTTCCACAATGCTTTTATGAGGATGTGATGAGCTGGTTCTGCAGCTCTGCTAACAAGCCCTGTTCTTTTTCCTTACCTGGTTTTAGATTGGATAAAGAAGACGTGATGACTTGCCTAATTAAAGGCTGCAACTTTGTCCTCAAGAACATCCCCCACGAGGCCTTCGTCTACCTGAAGGATGCCGACCCCGAGTTCAGGTTCCAGATGAACCATCCCCACATTTTCCCCTATTTGCTGGTCAACATCGGCTCTGGAGTTTCGATCGTGAAGGTGAGGACCCTTGGTTGATCAGGTAATCCTTGACGTAGGGCCACAGTGGAGTCCAAAATTTCCGTTGCTAAGTGAGACAGTTCTTAAATGGGTTTTGCCCCCTTTTACGACTTTTCCTTTCCACATTTGTTAAGTGAATCTCTGCAGTCGTTAAGTGAGCGACCCGGTTGTTAAGTGAATCTGGCTTCCCCATTGACTTTGCCCATCAGAAGGTCCTAAAACTGGGGACCACGCGACCCCTCGGGAACGCTGCACCCATCAGTTGCCAAACGTCCGGGTTTTGATCACGAGATTGTGGAGATGCTGCGACGGTCGTAAGGGTGGCTGATTTGCGGTTTCTGGAAAGATCTTCTTTCAGCCATTCTCTGATGCTCGCTGATCTCTCTCCCGGGTCAGATCCCCCCCCCCCAGCGGATCCACTTGCCCATTCAGCCCCAGGCTGCCCTAAAGAGAGAGTGCGTCCCTATCCATGTAATAGCGGTGGGATTCAGGCAAGAACCTGCTTCTTGTCTTTGATAGGTGGAAACGGAAGACAAATTTGAATGGATTGGTGGAAGTTCCATCGGAGGCGGGACTTTCTGGGGCCTCGGAGCATTGCTTACCAAAACCAAGGTAACGTTCTCGCCTAGCAATGCGGCATTTGAGTGATGGACTGGTCTTAAGTTAAGCAGATAGATAGATAGATAGATAGACAGACAGACAGACAGACAGACAGACAGACAGACAGACAGACAGATAGATGATGGATGGATGATGGATGGATGGATAGATGATGGATGGATAGATGGATAGATAAGGTGGGTGGGTGGATAGATAGAGATGGATGGAGGGATAGGGATATATACATGGATGGAGAGAGATATGGATGGGATAGATGGATAGACGGATGGAGGGATAGATAGATACATGGATAGATAGATGGAGGGAGGGAGGGATAGAGGGATAGATACATGAATGGAGAGAGGGAGATATGGATGGATGGATAGACAGACAGACACAGAGATAGACAGACAGACAGACAGACAGACAGACAGAGACAGACAGACAGACAGACAGAGACAGACAGACAGACAGACACAGACAGACAGAGACAGACAGACAGAGACAGACAGACAGACACAGACAGACAGACACAGACAGACGGACGGCGTGAAAAGAAAAACACAGGCTGGTGCCGAGGAACATCCGTCCTTCCAGCTGGTTCATCTGACAGACCTTTGGGATTTCCATTTTTAGAAGTTCGACGAATTGCTGCAGCTCGCTTCGAAGGGCCAACACACCAACGTCGACATGCTGGTGAAGGATATCTACGGCGGGGCCTATCAAACCCTCGGCCTGAGCGGGAACCTGATAGCCAGCAGCTTTGGGAAATCTGCCACGGCGGACAAAGGTGGGACTTTTCAACCTTTGATTCTTCGGAGTGTCTGTTAAGGGGCTGGCTCGCTCTGCCCGTTAAAATTAAGGGCCTTTATTTTATTTTATTTTATTTTTTCATTCTCCAGATCAGTATCTCAGTACCCTCTTTGATTCTTTCCCCCTCAATCTCGTTCTGAATAAAATCCGGCAATCTTCCATTAATTGACGATGGAGATTCTCGGCCGTGCCGGTCACGGCTGTCCCAAAGGTGTTTTTTTTTCTCCCATAACTGGACTTTCTTGTTTTTCTTGGAAGACGTTTCATTTCTCACCCCAGAAGCTTCTTCAGCTCTGACTGGATGGTGGGGAGTGGAAGGATGTAGCTATTTGAAATTGAACTGAACGGCCCTCTGTCAACACCTTCAAAGAAAAACCAAGACAGTCCAGTTGCCTCCTGAAAAAAAAAAAAGCCCCTTTGGGATTCCATTCATTGACCCAAATCTTTTAAGGTGGGGTGCTCAATCTCCCCCCCCTCCCCTCCCCTCTTGGGCCCTTCTCAGATTTTTCCAAAGAAGACATGGCCAAAAGTTTGCTGCACATGATCAGCAACGATATCGGGCAGCTGGCTTGCCTGCACGCCAAGCTCCACAACCTGGACAAAATCTACTTTGGCGGTTTCTTCATCCGGGGACACCCCGCCACCATGCGGACCATCACCTACAGCATTAACTTCTTCTCCAAGGTAGGGAGAAATTAAAAATCAGGAATACCCGTGGCAGGCTGGCGAGCCACGGGGACAGGGTGGAGGGGGGTGAGGGGAAGGGTTTTTGGGCCTGAAGCAACCTCACAGGCCTCCTCCTTTGTGTCTTTTGCTCGGGGTTGTAAGTGTAGAGCAGCTGCTCCTCGGGGTATTCCTGCTAACACCGTGTTTCTTGTTACGGCAGGGTGAAGTCCAGGCTTTGTTCCTGAGGCATGAAGGCTACCTGGGAGCGATAGGTGCTTTTTTAAAAGGAGCAGAGCAAGACAGTAAGTGCAGCCCCTTTCTCTTCTGCCCCCCCCCCCAAAGTCAGGGCTCTTCTCCCCCCTCCCCAGAGTGGGCTTTTAGGCCCCAGACTCTTATTCCAGGGCGGTCTTGAAAGGCTTGGGCCAAAGGTGGGGAAGACGTTCACCCGGTAGAGACTGGATTTCCATGTTGGTTATCTGCCTGCGAGAAGCCTCCCTCGGCTCGGGGTCCGCTCCATCGGGCCTCTGTTTGGAGTGTGTGCTTGTGTGCTTTTGCCTAACAGCCCTTCAGAAATTACACAAGTGCGTGCCACCTAACTAGACACACGCAACCTAACTTCCCGGCGATTCGCAGCTCCCGTTTTCTTATCCTATGAGGCTCTGCTTCGGTGTTGTGTTTCAGTTGTGTTTTTTTTTTTTAACTTTTGATGGAAAAAATTAAGCCGGGTGGATCTGTTCGTTCTCTTGGTTCTCCAGTCTCTTTCTAAAACAAGAAATCCATCCTTTAAGGGATCTGAAGGGGTGGGTGTGTTCCCATCCGACAGTCTGTCTCCTTGAAAAGTAAAAATAAAACGCTGATAGCTTTAAAAAAATAAAATAAAAAAATAGGACTGCTTTGGCATATGCTGGAATATCTTATTTTTTCCCCCTCTCTTCTTCTCTTCCTGCCCCCCCCCTTCCCAAGATCCCAATTTATACAGCTGGGGAGAGAACTACGCTAGCAGTTCAGGCCTTCTGAGCACGTCGCCCGACGTTTGCCCCATGCAGCGGGAACGAAGCGGCACCGTGAGTCTCCCCGGCCTAGAAAAAGCTCAGCGTTGATCCCACATCCCTAAATATAGACCCCCTGCTTGATGGTCTCTAGGGTCCTGACGGGGCCTTTTTGCAGATGGAACAATGGAAAGCGGTCTCTCCGGGACTCCCTTGCTGTTCGGACAGGAAACGTCTGCCTTCCGAGCAAGGAGGAAATCTCGGAATCCTGCAGGTTTCCCCCCCC